TCTCTCCATGTTGTTTTTTTTCTTTTGTTCTCTTTTTTGAATTGGTATATTATTAGTATTATTAGTGCTTGTCAAGTAATTATCTTGTTTCTGTGTTGTTTTTGTAGTTTTAAACATCTATAGCCAGGTGTTGATTACACAAACAAATACCTGAGAAAAGAATCGAGTGTCTTACTATGAAGGAATTAACCTCTTCAGGCGGAGTTCGGACGGGAAGAATCGTCCGGATATATGAATGAACATATCAAATTTTTGTGCACACTATTTATACATAGTATTTATACTTACAGTCCGAACAATTCTTTCCATCCAGACTCCGCACAGAATAATTTCTCCTCCAGTAAAGCCTCTATGGATCAATGAATCTCTCTTCTTTCTCTATAATCTACTCTTTCAATCTTAAGGTGGTTTTAATTGTAATCTCATAGATTTAAATAAAGCCCTCCACTTTCTCCTCAAATTAGGACAAAAAAACAAAACAAAAGTATAAGTTATAGAAAAAAATATTCTTCTATACAAATTTCCCTTCTCATCTTAATACTCCCAATCAAGAAATAAATATGAGTATCATGTGAACCAGGGTGTAAACAATTCTATTTCAAGCCAACCCAACTTCAACTTGAAATGGGATCAAACCTATATAGGCTACCTCAAAATTCGCTCAAGTCTTGAATTGATTTGATTTTGAATTGGCTCAGCCTAAACAAACTCGCTTTTGAGTCCAGTTGAATTGAAGGCATTGTTTCTTAAAGCAGCTTTCTAGTAGAAAAATTAATTTTTTGTACTAAAAAGTTGCTTTAAGAAGCAGTAAGAAAGCCGTCTCAAACAAAGCCTGAGTCAGCTTAAAATAATTTTATATTTTCTTTTTTTAATTAAAAAGAACATAACTAGGCATATATATATATATATGTTGTAGGAATTATGTGTCTTGGCGATGATGGATTGTGCATAAGCCTACTGTTGAATCTTTGGTTGATATCACGAGGGTTAACTTGTCTTTATTAGATAACTTATAATAAATATTTCTTATTTAAAAAAATATTAATTTCATTTTCTTAAATTATAGTTTTTAATTAGAATGGAATTGTTCATGAACAAGAAGTATTTGTTTATATTTGTTGGATTATTTTGTTTTAAAGTATTCATAGACAAGTTTGTTTATTAAAAAAATTATTTCTAAGCTTTTTTATTTGTTAACAGGTTTGGTTGGTAGCTCGAAAAATACTTGCTCGATATGTTTGCGAACGAGCTCCTTTGGTAACTTGAAAATAGCTATAAGATATGTTCGCGAATTGGAGTAGTCTTGATAAGGCATATCAACACATGATAGCACCAATAAGACTGATGCAAGACATCAACATAAAGATAAACATTTATGCCCGCTAACTACATTGCCAATATTGTGGATATACAAATCATTGCCAATAGGTTTAATGCATGTCATCGACATAAATTTTGATCCTCACCGACTTGGTCACCCATCGTTATTAACAATATTAATGCATGTCATCACGTATAATATCAATACATGCCATCGACACGGATGTCGATGCTCATTGACTTCTTCATATGTCATCACCTAAAATGTAGACACACAATATCGCGAAGACAAACATCGACACTCATCGACTTTGTCTCCCATTGTTACCTATAATGATGCATGCCATTGCTTATAAAGTTGATGCACACCATCGACACCAACTATAACTCATAACATCAACATTAAAATTTAAACTATTGCAGGCTGGAACATTCATCGCGATAGAAGGATAAAGAGCTTAATGAACTTAGCTTTGAACGAAAATTTAGCACACAAACAAATAAGAGGGAGAGGGATGCGAGAGTCATAAGAGACGCCAAGATTTTTATGTGAAAAATCCTGAAAAGGGGAAAACCCACAGGGCCTGGCTCAGTTAAAATGATTATACTAGTGTTTACTGTTGATTTCAAAAGAGGTCCTTTCATGGGGGAAAGACCTTAGCTCAATGTAGCAAATATACATCATATAGAGCATATTACAGGTGAGAGTTGGAAGAATCCAATGATATGAGAGTTTTTCTCAAGAAAGTGTTAGCCTGTTAATTTGGTCAGTATGATCATAGTCGGACGACATTGGTCAGAGAAACTATAGTCATTAGTTGACGAAAGTTGGAGGTGCCGTAGTCGGCGGGCGATAGTGGTCGAAGGGACTGTAGTCGATAGATTACGGTGGTCAAAAGGGCCATGGTCAATGTGCGACGGTGGTCAGAGGTACCGTAGTTGACGGGTGGCGGGCGGTGGCCAAGCCATGGTCCAGCGGCGATCGGGCGAAAGTCCGACAGATGATGGAGGTTGGGTGGAAATTCGATGGAGATCTACTACTAAGCGGTAGTCAGCTGCTGAGTGGTGGTTGGTAGCTAAGCGGTGGTCTAATAATGGTCAGACTGAAGTCTAATGGCGATCGGTTGTTAGGTAGATGTTCTATGGCGGTCAGCGACCAAATAGTGGTCGGATGATGGTCAGCGGCTTGGTGTAAGCCCGATGGTGGTTAGCAGCCAGGCAGTGGTCTAATGATGGTTGACGGAAGTTTTCTAGTAATGGTGCTTGGGCGGAGCTCTAGATCCTTAAAGCCTGTAATCTTTCTCCATTCTCTAGCTAGAGGTTCAGGCTTGCAAATGTCTAAGCCCCCTCTTCAGAAGTTAGAGTATATTTATAATTTTTTTAGAGTTGCATTCCCCGTAAATATGTAGAAGATCTTTGGCGAGGGTTTAGGGTTTAGGTTTTAAGGTTTAGGGTTTAGGTCTTAGGGTTTAGGATTTAGGGTTTAGGGTTTAGGGCTTAGGATTTAGGGTTTAAGGGTTTAGGGTTTAGTTACCCTCCCACTATTCACATCTTAACATTTTCCATCATGACATTCTCCGCCTTTTTCTATCGCACTGCAACTCACAAAGAGTTGCCTCTTCCTCTCAGCGGCGGACGAGAGCCATCACCTCCATTGTAGTACATTTTGTTATTAAGAAAGGTGAGATAATAGAACATTTTTTGGGGATTTCTCAAATGTCAGATGAATCAGCAAATAGTCTTAAAATGACAATTGAATAACTCTTATCAATATATGGTTTGAGCATTTTTAGAATATGAGGTCAAGGCTACGATGGTGCTAGCAATATGAGAGGGGAGTTTAATGGTCTAAATGCTCTTTTTTTGAATGAAAATCAATCAGCATATTTCATTTATTGCTCATCACATCAACTTTAATTAGCATTGGTGGATGTTATGAAAACTCATGTTCATATTATTTTGTTATTTACTATAATTTTGAGTGAAATGAATCTTTTTGGTGTTTCTTGTAAGCGTCATGACCATCTTTGAAAAATACAATGAGAGAAGGCATTAAATGAATTACATGATGGAAAAATTTTATATGGGCAATAAATCAAGAAATAACCCTTAGGCATGCAAGTGATACGAGGCAAGGTTCGCACTATGAATCTATTTTAAGGTTAATCATAATATTCTCTACGGTAATTGATGTTCTGGAAATCATTTTGGAAGATAGTGTAAGCTCAAAATAAAAAGGTGTGGCGTATGCTTTATTAGAATCGTTACAGACCTTTGAGTTTTCTTTTTGCCTATATTTGATGAAAGATGTTCTTAGTATCACTAATGAAATATCATAAGCTTTACAAAGAGTATAATAAGATATTATAAATGCTATGTCTTTGGTGTGTATATATAAAATAAGACTGCGGGATATGAGAGATAACAAGTGGACTGACTTCATCAGTAATATAACCTCATTTTGTGAGCAACATTAAATCAATGTTCCACATATGAATGATAAATGGGTTGCTCGTGCTCGGCCTCACCGTAAAGCTCAAGATATAACAAAATTTATATCATTTTCAGGTTAACATTTTTTACACAGTGCTTGACATGCAGTTTTAGGAGTTAAATAATTGTTTTAAAAAAGTAAATATCGAGCTGCTTTTGTATATGACCTGCTTGAATCTTAATAATAGATTTTATGCATTCAACAAAGACAAGTTGATTATAATGACACAGTTTTGTCTCACTGATTGTTGTCTTCTTGATCAGGCGGTTCTTGAAAATGAATTGGATACTTATACTACAGATATGCGATCTGGTGATTAGTTCTCCTCTTTAAAAGATATAGGAAGCCTTGCTGAGAAAATGATCCAAAGTATGAAATATATTACATATCATGTTATTTTTAGAATACTCGAATTATCATTAGTATTACCCGTTGCTACTGCAAGCATCGAAAGAGCATTTTCTACCATGAATATTATAAAAAATTGGCTGCAAAATAGAATTGGAGATCAATGAATGAATGATTTATTAATTACTTTTATTGAGAAAGAAATTTTAGATGATATTGATAATGAAGTAATCATTGAGCTCTTTCGAAATATGAAGAATAGACTTTATAAATTGTAAGTTGTACATATCTTAATTTAAATATTATACATTTTGATAAAATTGAACAAAAAATTTAAAAACTGCATAATGCCAGTCCTAAGCTCCGAGTGAAAAAATCCCCCCACCCCCCCCCCCCCTTCTCAATAAACTTCTAGCAATATCACTATCGGATCGGACTGATTTTGATGACGTTGGATTCATCTCTTTGAGATGTTCAATTTGAATACAAGTTTGATAAAAATCAGAATTTAAATGGTCCTAAATTTAGTTTCCAACTTAAATATGTTATTTTGTTCGTGCTCGAACAAGACAATTTTTGGTGACATATCAATATTGAACCTCTTGGCCTCTAGTCTTCTCTCCTTAAAAGAGAATGATCAAACATACTACAAATAATCTCTTGAAGATAACTCAAACATACTACAAATAATCTCTTGAAGATAACTCCAATGCCTTAAGGCTCTTCTAACCTCCACCATGAAATACAATATACTTCTATTTTTTTCCTATCACCATACAATAATCTTAATAGAAAGATTAGGACGACCGGCTACATCTAGTTTTCTCCCGCTAAGGATATGTCTGTGGAGAAGTCTCCCATATGCAGGTGTATAAAGAACGTGGATCCCTCCCCCATTCAGCAATTTGCTACTGGAATGCGCCCTCCAAGTGTTTGTGTAATGATGCTGAGTGCCCTGAATCAGCTAGCCCTATTTGCCAGCCCATATAAGCTCCTTTGTTGCAGCCTAGAGGATTGCAATCAGGCCCTTTCGCTTAGAACAAGGTCCAATTCTTCAAGTTGGATAAAAAGCCAAGCGAAATCTTCTTAGCCAAGGATGGCAAGTCCATGGAGGTGGAAGTGGCAGTTGTGCACGAGAATATTGCCAAATTGGATAGAGCATTAGTGGTTAAGCTCATGGGACGAAGGGTTGTATTTCCCTTCCTTTTTGGTGAGCTCAAACGTAGGTGGTATCATTTTGGGGAATTTGATATTATTACTATAATTCCAAACTCTTTTATATGTATTTTCCAAAGCAAAGAGGCTAGGGATGCGATACTCATGAGTGGGCCGTGAATCATATCAGAGAACACATTTGTATGGATAAGTGGTCTCCTACCTTCTCTCCCAACTCTCTTCATGGGCTTTACTCTCCTATTTAGATATGTCTTCCACATTTCCCTCTCATGTACTGGGATAAAAACAACATCACTAGTCTTGCCAATATGCTTGGAGAACCTTTGTGGATGGACTCACATACGAGTACTTGGGGAAGATCATCCTATGCAAGGATTTGTGTTAGGATTAATCTCTCTCAATAGCTTCAAGTTGGGGTTTGAATCAATGGGTTCCATGTAAGGTTTTTTCAAAGAGTCGAATATAAAGGGCTTACAAACTTTTGCTTCGACTGTGGTCTAATTGGTCATGCCAATGGATCTTGCCTTTCCAATGCTCTAACCCGTGCTCCTTAGTCCCCCCCAATGCAGTCATCGCCGCCAACCAAGGTGCAAGTCACAATCGATAGTGCCCCCCAAGCACCCTCCCCTCCTCATGAGCCGAAGCATATTGCTGTTGAAGAGCCATCTCTTAATGAGAACAAGGAAGACTCTTCCCTTGGAGCTTGGAACCTAGTCACCTGGAGAAGGAAGGGAAGTTACAAATCGTCCACAAGCCAATCCCCCTATCCTATTCTTGGCCAAGAAGTTACAGCAAATGGAATAAACTTCTAATATGATTGTGAACTTTCGCAAGCAACAATGAAGAGTAACCAAGTCTCGATTGGACAGAGAGCTCCTTCGACTTGAGACTTTATGTGCTTTGGCCACCTCCCCTATGAAGAGAAAGAAGATTTCAACAGATTTCACAGGCGGGGACTTGGGCCCCTCAAGTGCTGAATGAGCGACCTCTTTTCATTGGTTTGTATTGTGTTTTATTGCGTAATATAAACCAATAAAATGGCCCACCTTCTCATTTGAGGGGTTTCTTTTTCTTTTGTTTTTGTCTGTGGCTTGATTTGGGGTGCTTTTCCTATTGTATCCCTTCCCCTTTTGTCCTTGGGAAGAGGAAGTTTTTTCCCCACAAGCTTGTTTCTCTCTGTGTATCATTCTTTTCTTTTTAATATATTTGTGTTAAAAAAAAGGGTTGACAATTATATATAAAGATTAAAACTTGTTCCATAATCATTGAATTTTTATAAATTTTAAATCTATATTTATATGCTTCAATTTTAATAATAGCTTACTTAAAATAAATCTAATTCAAGTAAAAACAAACTTGATTTAATATATATATATATATATATATATATATATTCCTCAAAAAATTAAGCGCTCATCAATGAGATTATCTTTTTGAATTGGGGGAGCTGAAACAAACAAAGAGGAGCTGAATTTCGCTGTCATTCCAGCATTAATTTCATCATTTGGAGTAAATTAATTTTATCTATTTTCAACTCATATAACTACTTTAAGCATTATAGAATTCTTCAAGATCAAAGGTGCTCATTATATGTCCAACCTAATTTATTTTGGCTTCAGACTTTTTTTGTGAAATCAATAAGAAAGCTATCCGAAACTAAGGCCTTCCTTTGGGACGGCTTTTTTATTGCTTTTTAAAATAGAATTAGTTAAAAAATTTTAATTTGTGTACTAAAATTTTGTTTTAAGAAGCAATAAAAAAGTCATCCCAAAGGCTTTATTTGCGACAGCTTTCTTGTTACTTTATGAAGCAATTTTTCAGTATCAAATTTTGTTGATTTAAAATTTTTTTGTACTAGAAATCTGCTTCATGAAGCAATAACAAAGCTGTCCCAAACAAAACCTAAGGCTTCGTTTTGGACGGCTTTCTTGCTGCTTCTTAAAACATCTTTTTACTTTTAAAAAAATTAATTTTTGTACTAAAAGATTACTTTAAGAAATAGTAAGAAAGTCATCCCAAACGAAGCCTAAACTCTAATTAGAATGTATTAAAAGTGATACTTTTTATTAGATTTAAATAAGGATTTTACTATTAATAAAACACAATGAATAAAAAAGATTCACGTAGCCAACCTCATATAGTGGGACAAAAACTCATTATTATTATTGTTGTAAATATGTAGGCTAAAAATATTCAAGCAAAATTTATTGTTAATACAAAATAAATTAGCTTTAGCTTTCATTACAACTAAGAAAAAAATAGAAAATTGCAAAATATATATAGAGGCATTCAAACTAATAATTCTTCTTCAAACAGGCCTCCAATTATCAAACAGGCCTTCCAATAAAACCTGAGAAGTACTCCAAATTTACTTTGTTTTTTTCTCTGTTCAATTCAATATGAATAAATCACTTTAACTTGTCCTATTTCTTTACTCAAATATATGAAAGATAATAATAAAAATAAAAATAAAAAACAAATATATATTGAAAGAGTCCTTATTATATTAATTTTATAATTATAAAAGGTTCGTAGGTGATAAAAAACAAATTACTTATTGCCAAATGAGATAAATTAGTATTGAAATTGGAATATGGTAAGCTTATGAAAGGATAAATTTAAAATTTACTATATTAAAATGAGAATTGGAAGAATATTTATTGAAGATAAAATAATAAAAATATATTTGTATTCGTAGAAATTTGTAGTGGGAGAAATAAATTTATATTATATAGATGATAGACTATAAAACAATAAGAAGATCTAAATAATATGACTAGAAAATATGATAATTAATTTGAGTAAATTTAATATATATGTTATGCAATGGTAAAGGAATAAATTAAGAATGATTATTCATAAAAATTAACTTAGTGTGGTTATTAAGTCTAATGATGATGATGTTAAGACTAATGATGTCGTGAGGTATAAATGATAGGTCTAAAAGGTTGGTCTCTTACCCATGCAAGTATCAGCATGGATGAAGATTAGCTTATCATCACATTATAATTTAGGAGATTTTCATGCACATTACAATAATTTTTAATGTATTTACATATCTAATATTAAAAATTTTTATATTTATTTATATGCCACTTTATTAGGTGTCAATATTTGACACAACACAAAAACTAGACCCGGACCCGACCCGAAAAATCCGGGTTGGACCCGACCCGATTTCAAAACGGGTAAGGTTCGGGTTCCTGGATTCGACCCATTTAAAAAATGGGTCGGGTTAGGGTTGACCCGACGGGTTGACCCGATTGAACCCGGGTCAGTTCCGGGTTCGACCCGAACCCGACCCGTGACCCGAAATTGACACCCCTACACTTTATCATCTAAATCAGGCCAAAGATTAAACATAAAAAAAATGTAAATTTTACCTTAAATATCCTAATATTTATAATTTTTTTTAAATAGTACGTAGTTTAGATCAATTTTGAGCGTTATGTATGCAGATAAAAAGATTTATGTGTTAAATTAATAAATATATAAGAATTTTGAGGCATGCATGTAAACCTTCCTATTTTAGGGGATTTACATCCATACCATTATGGCTTCGTTTGGGACGACTTTCTTAATGCTTCTTAAAGCAGCTTTTTCGTATGAAAATTTTAATTTTTAAACTAGAAAGTTATTTTAAGAAGCAATAAAAAAACCGTCCCAAACAAAGCCTATATTCCACTTTAAAGAGAATTTCGCTTTTGCATGATATTCAACTTTTCAACACTTAAATATTTACAAGTGCCTCGCGATCAAATCGATGGAAATTTCGTTGTGGATTTTCATATTTGAATTATAATTTTACGAAATTAAAAAACTGTCTCAAACGAAGCCTATATATTCCACTTTAAAGAGAATTTCGCTTTTGCATGATATTCAACTTTTCAACACTTAAATATTTACAAGTGCCTCGCGATCAAATCGATGGAAATTTCGTTGTGGACTTTCATATTTGAATTATAATTTTACGAATATGTATAGAAAAATGATAATTAAATCGGTTATTTTCAATTGATACATGGTAAAATTGACCTATTTTTTTTTTAATGTAAGAAAATTTCAATTTCAACACATTGAAAATGATATATATATCCAAATATAGAGCCAAATTGAACAAGTCAAATTTCAGCTGATGCCCTTCCAACTTATCCACAATATATATTTGGAGTAAGGAGGATGCCCAAATATAGATATTGCCTTAATCTTCAAAGCAATATTGCTTGCATTTTGGAAGTTTTAAGGTCTCTCTTCTTCTTCACAAAATGGTAGAGACTGCACGCTTTGCTCTTGGAATAATAGGTGTTGCTTCCTTTGCTAGAGATTATTTTCATCACATTTTATTGCCTTTTTTTAATCATATTTAGAAATATATTATTTTCTTCCAATAGGAAAACGCCACGTAAGCTAAATTCCTTTAAAGAAAAATATTTTTTTCAAAATATTTTG